ACACATCTAGAAGAGTATGCTCACAATCTTCTGATCCTCAAATAACATGCCACATTTCTTATTTCTAACTCTTTTTCAGGCCTCATGTTTCTCTTTTGCTCTGGTTCACCTGATTCACTTTAAATGTTTCCCTGTTCCTTGCTCTCTGTATTGGATATCTTAGGGCATGATTTAGCTTTCTCCCTTCTGGTTCTTCTATAACATGGGTCGGCAACCTTTCAGACGTGGTGTGCCGAGTCTTCATTTATTCACTCTAATTTAAGGTTTCGCGTGCCAGTCATACATTTTAATGTTTTTAGAAGGTCTCTTTCTATAAGTCTATAATATCTAACTAAACTGTTGTTGTATGTAAAGTAAATAAGGTTTTTAAAATGTTTAAGAAGCTTCATTTAAAATTAAATTAAAATGAAAAGCCCCCCCGGACTGGCGGCCAGGACCCGGGCAGTGTGAGTGCCACTGAAAATCAGCTTGCATGCCGCCTTTGGCATGCATGCCATAGGTTGCCTACCCCTCCTCTATGATCTTCCTCCAACAAAACAAAACTGTTTCATATAGCCCTCCTGATTTTTCTGAATCACACCAATGTAGATTTAAGTTAGATATTAGGAAAAACTTCCTAAATATAAGGATAGTTAAGCACTGGAACAAGTTACCTGATATTGGAGGTTTTTAAGAAGAGGTTAGATAAACATCTGTCAGGGATGGTCTAGGTATACTTGGTCCTGTCTCAGTGCGGGCAGATGGACTAGCCCTACATTTCTAAGATTATGGCTCACCAAAATCCAGTCACCACTTTTAGCAGCCTCCAGTTTTCTGTCCTCCAAATCATGTGGGTACAGTGTTAAACAAGTTAGAGTACAGTAGAACCTCAGAGTTATGAACTCCTAGGGAATGGAGGTTGTTCATAACTCTGAAATGTTCGTAACACTGAACAAAACATTATGGTTGTTCTTTCAAAAGTTTACAACTGAACACTGACTTAATACAGCTCTGAAACTTTATTATGCAGAAGAAAAATACTGCTTAATTTAAATGAAATAAGCACAGAAACAGGTTCCTTACCTTGTCAAATATTTTTTTTAACTTTCCCTTTTTTTTTTAGTAGTTTTATACTTAAGAGTATTTGCTTTTTTTTTTTTTTTTTGGTCTGTGCTGCAGCCTGATTGCATACTTCTGGTTCCAAATGAGATGTGTGGTTAACCAGATAGTTCACAACTCCGGTTTTCATAAATCTGAGGTTCTATTGTATTCCCTTTCATTTTTGTGTCTAATCAGTTTCACTTTCTGATTCACCTGCAGAAGCACAATGATGAAGAATTTGGGTATCCAGGGAAGCCAGGGGAAGGTTAAGCCCAATAGAAGGATATTTTAAAGAAATATTTTGGATAGATTTTGCATTCAAAAAAACCACAACAAAACCCAAACTTGGATTTGGGGCCTATACTTCCTATTAATGTAAGAGGGGAATTGATACTAGGGGGAAAATGCAATATTTATACCTGAATTAAACATGAAACAGCATTTTCTTGTGGTAAGAGCAGAGGATAGGGAGTCTAAAGTCCTGGATTCTAGTCCTGGCTCAGAAACTGACATCCTTTGTGACGTTAGGCAAGTCTTTACACCAGATATTTCAAACTTGGGTGCCTAAAGTTAGGCATTGACATGCGGGCTGATATTCAGGCGTGCCAAGTACCCATGTGGCCCTGTCAATTTAAATAGGAGCTAGTGTGCTTAGCACCCCTAAAAATCAGTCCTTTGATTTAGCCACCCACATCTGAACATGTTGGGTGAGGCTCACAAAGGTCCTTAGGTGTCTCAGTCTGGGGTTTAGACACCTAAGTCCCAGTTTTAGGCCTCACTGCAACACACAAAATTCCTGGTGAACCCCGTAGGCGCCTAAACACACTCGGTCCCTACATTTTCAGGATAGCAGTTGCCTCAGTGTCTCAGTTTCTGCTTCTGCGCATGTGCACTCCTGCCTCCTTCTAGGCATCGGGACACCTATCTCCCTCCTAAGCCCTAGTGATTCACGAACCAGGAGGCGAGAGGGGCCCAATCCAGCGGGCGTGCTTAAGGGCCACCTACTAGAACGGGTCCCATTTACAATCTGGCAGAGGGAGGTTGTAGTGGAGGTGGCCACCTTATAGCTTTTACCTCAGTGGTTAGAGCACTCCCCAGGGATGTGAGAGACATAGGGTACGTCTTCACTACCTGCTGGATCGGTGGGTAGTAATCGATCTATCAGGAATCGATTTAGCGCGTCTCGTCTAGACGTGATAAATCGATCCCCGAACGCGCTCCCCGTCGACTCCGGAACTCCACCAGGGCGAGAGGCGGAAGTGGAGTCGATGGGGGAGCCGCGGCCATCGATCCCGCGCCGTGAGGACGCGAGGTAAGTCAATCTAAGATACGTCGACTTCAGCTACGCTATTCTCGTAGCTGAAGTTGCGTATCTAAGATCAATCCCCCCCGCCCTCTCCCCAGTGTAGACCAGCCCCTAGTTTCAATTCCCCAGAAGGACGGACAGAGGAAAGGATTCGCACTGAAATCTACCACTTCTCAGGCTACTGCCTCTAATCACCGAGCTGTGGGATATTCTGATGTGGGGGCTCCCCCACTCTCTCCTCTTGAAGCTGTTCCACTGTGGGCACCATGGATCAGGCTGACCTAACTATGGAGCTCAGGGTGTGAAATTTTTCACAAGGCTGAGCGACGACGCAGCTGGCTGGATCTAATTTTTAAGCATAGACTAGGCCCAAGTGTTTCTCCCACACAGCCCAGCTTCTCCTCCTGCTTGACTCAACAGTGAAGATATAATCATGTGCTTAAAAGTCCTCAGAGGAAATTACTTTGCTATCATTGAGTCATACTTACAGCTTCAAGTAGGCAGAAAACCCAAGCTGTGAAGTAGCAGAAAACCCTTCCTAACGGCAGCGTCCAGTTGCAGTGCAGGTAATTTATTCCACCTATCACATACAGTGTATATTTGATAAAATATTCTTCACCTTCCCTCCAAACCTGCTTTTCGCTGACCAAACAGCTGTTGTGTTTCAACCCAGATGTGGTATTCCGGTGGTAGCTGAAGTAATCCATATCTGTTGTGCCTACCTGCAGAAAACCATGTCATTTGGATGTGTAAGGAACTCGGTTTCCTCTTTAATTTTTTTTCAATTGAATATATTAGATGTGCCTGAGTATTGAGAGAAGTCCTAAGAGTAATGGGAATCTCATGCCTAACTGAAGAGGAAAACAGACCAAACATTATATAACATTGCAGGATCAGGTTGAGAGAATATGGACTCTAAAAGGTACGTCTACCCAGGAGCTGGGCGGTGCATTTCCCTAATTGGGTAGGTGCTTTAGCTAGCACACTAAAATAGGCAGTGTGGCCACGGTGGCAAGGACTAGCCACCCGGGTACAAACTCACTTGACCCCTGTATAACAAATTACACACTCTTTAGGGCCGCAACACTCTCCTTTGGCTGTCCCGTACCTTTATAGCACTGAACAAATAATCCATCCCTAAGCAGAACACTGAAGTGACAAACGATAAACAAAGAATGGATTTTTCAGACTTGAGTTGTGTGTAAATTGGACCCTTTACAATTTTTTCTGGTTTAATGTCAATTTATAAGCACCTCTTATGAAATGCTGGCTGAGTCTTACTGCCTCGGAAGTGGCACTGGCAATAATAAAAGAATCTGAAGCCATTGTGCAAAATTAATAAATAACTCAGGCCTTCATCCTGCAACATGATCCACACAACAGGCCTCTCCAGAGGCAGAGAATAAGCGCAGGAGCAGGGGGGGTCAGCCAATGCACATTGCAGACTCGGGACCTAAATAATAAGTGTCCAATACACAAATAAGCTGACCTCCGAGCTCTCTCCCCAAAACCCACTCACTTCTCACAACCAGGTAACTTTCTTCACACAAAAAACCTTCCTGAGACAGCAGGGCGGTACGAAGATTTTGCTGTTCGTCTCCAGATGAGAAATGTCTGTTTGGAAATGCTATACATTATAATAATTCAAGTAAAGGAGCAATTCCTCCATGGAAAAAGTGAAGCTACACAATTTCTTTTTCACGTGTGTGTTTTTCAAGAGGTCACACTGGTTTGTGACCTTTGCACAGATTTTTTGGTTTGTTTAGATTTGCCCTTTTCTTGCATTGCATTATCAACAGGTAGCTCAGTGCCATTCTCTTTCTTTATTCAGTGACCACGTTGTTTGCCTGTTTAAAGGAGAACCTCTTGGGGATAGGCTCCTTGGCATGAAGAAGAACAGGAGGACTTGTGGCTCTAAGATACGTCGACTTCAGCTACGCTATTCTCGTAGCTGAAGTTGCGTATCTAAGATCAATCCCCCCCGCCCTCTCCCCAGTGTAGACCAGCCCC